AATTAAGGAGTGAGCTACACTAGCCCAGTAAGAACATCACGATATCTCACCGTCACGGAGATAAAGGTGGGTAGAAAACCACAAAAAGACCAATGGAGCATAATTTACAATAAACTCGTTTATTAACATGAAAACCTTTACCATCCACTTACCTCGGTGGAATTTATGAAAACAATATAAGAAAAATAATAACATTATCACAATCATGGAATAATATAAGCTGTAAAACATAGCACTTATCACGCCTTTTGTAATTCAATCATTATACAACATATCCTTTTCTCATTTACCAGCCTACTAGTATCCATGGGGGTCCCTAGGGGTCCCGCTACCCGTTAACCTTTAACATTCATAATCAGTTTCCAGGGCCGTCCCCATACCCCGTCCGGTATGGGCGCCAAAACCATAAACCTCAATACCCCGTCCGGTATGAGGGTGAAACGGGCCGTCCCCATACCCCGTCCGGTATGGGCGCCAAAACCATAAACCTCAATACCCCGTCCGGTATGAGGGTGAAACGGGCCGTCCCCATACCCCGTCCGGTATGGGCGCCAAAACCATAAGATCTCCATGCCCCGTCCGGCATGTGAGACCACAATCCCGGTAGGGTTCCCTACGGACCCGGTCCGTCCAACATCTCCCAGGATATCTAGTCAGGCTGACCCCATCATATAATTATCAGTCTACACAATCTTTCATTTTCCTTTTCCTCAATAAGCATCATCAATTTCACATTTAAACAAGCAAATCGTAATTCATGTCAAACAGACAACATACAGTATCAGTTCTTCAGTCTTTCAACCCATAATTAATAAAACAGTAATATATGCACTCGAAACTATAAAACGAACACATCAAACCTCATAATGCATTTAAAGCTGTAAAACAGGCCAAATAACAGTAAATCATCAATCACACTAGACTCGGGCTCCATTAGCAACCTTAAGCAATTTCACACATGCGTTAATTCAAGAAATACCGTTTTATCATTTTGAACTTTAATACCGTGATAGGAAATAGGGTGAGGGGTTCTTACTTGTTTTCGGGATCCGAATACGATTCACAGTGCGCCTACAGGCCGTCCCTAATTTTCCCTGAATTTTTTTCCCGGGGAACTGAAACACACTAACGGTACCTGCACGTATTCCAAAAAATCTCAAATTAGGCTCAGGGCCCCTTTTTGGCCAATATCGCAACTCCGGCACGGCGGCTCCGCCGTGCTCCGGCGACGGCGCCGCCGCTTGCGGCGGCGATTCGCCTCGGGTTGGCTGTTTTCGGTCGTTTCCGGCCGAATTCGGCCACACTCGCATCGGTCCCTGCGAGAAAACAACCCTAGGGCCCTCGGGGGGCCAAAAAATCACGGAGAAGCGGAGCTTACCGGCGGCGGCGCTCTCGGGTGCGGCGGCTCTCCGGCGAGGTTCGTGGTTTGGTGATTCGGCTCCGGTCAACCTGTAGAGAAAAGAATGGTGATCACGGTGATATAAAAATTGCATCAAACGGAGGCCGGGAAGGGCCTCGTCGGAGGTAAAAACCGAGAGGGGGCGCGGCGGCGCCGCTGGTCTTCGGCCGCGTATTCCGGCCGTTTGGCCGGGATTTTGGCTTCGATTTGGCCACAGGAGGAATCAGCGTAGAAAAACGAGTCGGGGGTATGAAATTTACCTCGATCGGCGGTCGGAAATTTCCCCGGTGCGGCGGCGGGTGGCGGCGGTCGGCCTCTGGTTCGTCTTCTCCAGCGAGCGGCAGGCGGCTAGGGTTTGTCGTCTGGTGTGGGGGTTCTATTTATAACCCATTGCCTTTTGATCTCAGCCGTCCATTTTGTTTTAATCTGGGCCGTTCGTTTTTGATTGAATCTGGGCCGTCCGTGCGATTGTATCTGGGCCGTCCGATCGCGCCCACGCGGATCGCCAACGTGGCCCGTTCCGGAGCGACGTGGTCTTGCCACGTGGCAGGCCCCGGTTGGCCGGGACTGCTGACCGGGCCTGCTGACGTAGCTTTTTTTTTTTTTTTTTTTTTCTTCTCGGTCCGGGCGCTATATGTTTAATTTGCGCAGCCCCTGTTACCTTGCGTTTAGAAACCATTAAGTGAGCCAACATACTTGTATTTTTTCTGTGAACGCATCGACTACCACATTATCTTTGCCTAAGAGACACAAAATCTTACAGTTGTAATCCTTGAGAAACTCTATCCAACGCCTCTGATGCATATTAAGATCTTTCTAAGTGAATATATGCTGCAAGCTCTAATGGTCTGTATAAATCTCAAAAGTCTCCCCATACAAGTAGTAACGCTAGGTCTTCAAAGCGTGGATAATGACGGTAAGTTCTAAATCATGGGTGGAGTAATTCTTTTCATGACTTTTCAATTGCCTATACCCATAGGTTATAACCTTTTCATGCTATATCAGAATACAGTCAAACCACAAGTAGGAGGCATCACTATACACTGTGTATCCATCTGTCTCACTCGGTAGAGCCAAAACGGGTGCGGTAGTCAACTACTTCTTGAGTTTTGTGAAGTTCCTTTCACAATTATCGTTCCACTCAAACTTGACGTTCTTCTTTGTAAGTTTGGTCAAAGGAGTGGCTAGGCTAAAAAACTCTTCCACAAACCTGCGGTAATTATTTTCAAAAAGTTACGAATCTCATTAACTGAAATTAATTTTTTCCAACTGAGTACTATCTCAACCTTCTTAGGATTCACTGATATCTCATCCTTTGATATTATGTGCCATAGGAAGATAGTCTGGTCGAGTCAGAACCCACACTTGCTCAATTTTGCATACAGTTTCTTTTTCCTAAGAATCTATAAAACCTAAGTTAGGTGATGAGCTTATTCTTCTCTACTCCTTGAATAAACCAAGATATCATCAATAAACACAATGACGAACTAATCCAGGAATTACCTAAAAACTTTGTTTATCAAGTTCATAAAAATGGTTGGCACATTGGTTAACCCAAATGACATGACCAGGAACTCATAATGTCCGTACCTCGTTTTGAAAACCGTCTTGGAAATGTTCTCTACCTTGATCTTTACTTGATGGTAACCCGAATGCAAGTCTATCTTGAAGAAAACCTGAGCACACCCTGTAACTAATTGAAAAAATCATGGATCCTGGTGTGGGGGTACTTATTTTTGATTGTGACTCTATTTAATCCCCTGTAGTCAATACACAACCTCAGGAACCCATCTTATTTCCTTGCAAATGTGACTCCAGCACCCCAAGGAGATACATTGTGTTAGATGAACCCACTATCTTGCAATTCTTAAATACGTTTTCTCAATTCTTCCACCTCCATACGATTAATACGGTAAGGGCGCAACTGAAATGAGTTGGGTGTCAGGCTAAAGATCTATGATAAACTCAACTTTTTTATCCATTGGAAGTCTGGGTAGTTCATAAGAAAATACATCTAGGAATTCTTAGACCACAAGGATCTCTTAGATGCAATTTTTTTTCTTAAGTTTGCCTAATGTAGAAAAAAACAATTGAATTAAGGTATCATATAAACAATGCAGTTACCATGAGAGAATAATATCTGAAACTTTTATTAATTGGTGAATGATTCTTCGTTAGGAAGATTAAATACAAGTTTCTTATGAAAGTAATCTATGGTGGTGTAATATGCTGCTAACCAATTCATCCCCAAAATTACATCAAAGTCCCCCATGTCTATCGCTATCGGGTATACACTCAATTTTCTACCTGTTATTTCTACGATACAAGCTTTGTATATGACCTCCCCTAGTAGTGTCTCATTCCCAAGAGTAGACACAAATAGTATAGAATAGAGATTTTCAGGTAGCACATTCAAATTTTTTGCAAAAACA